GGAAGAATAAAGCAGGGGGCATCTCGCTTCTCAACTTCAAGCTCTACTACAAAGGCACAGTAATCAAGACAGTTTGGTACCGGCACAAGAACAGAGCCACAGACCAGTGGAACAGAATAGAGAGTCCAGATATTAACCCAAACATATATGGTCAATTAATATACAATAAAGGAGCCATGGATATACAATGGGGAAATGACAGCCTCTTCAACAGCTAGTGTTGGCAAAACTGGACAGCTACATGTAAGAGAATGAAACTGGATCATTGTCTAACCCCATGCACAAAAGTGAATTTGAAATGGATCAAAGACCTGAATGTAAGTCATGAAATATAGGCAAGAAAAACATAGGCAAAAATCTCTTGGACATAAACATGAGCAACTTCTTCACGAACATATCTCCCTGGGCAAGGGAAAGAAAAGCAAAAATGAACAAGTGGAACTATATCAAGCTGAAAAGCTTCTGTACAGCAAAGGACACCATCAGTTAGAACAAAAAGGCATCCTACAGTATGGGAGAATATATTCATAAATGACATATCCAATAAGGGATTGACATCCAAAATACATAAAGAGCTCATGCACCTCAATGAACAAAAAGCACATAATCCAATTAAAAAATGGTTAGAGGATCTGAACAGACACTTCTCCAAAGAAGAAATTCAGATGGCCAACAGGCACAGGAAAAGATGCTCCACATTGCTAGTCATCAGAGAAATGCAAATTAAAACCACAGTGAGATATCACCTCACACCAGTTAGGATGGCCAACATCCAAAAGACAAACAACAACAAATGTTGGCGAGGTTGTGGAGAAAGGGGAACCCTCCTACACTGCTGATGGGAATGTAAACTAGTTCAACCATTGTGGAAAGCAGTATGGAGGTTCCTCAAAAAGCTCAAAGTAGAAATACCATTTGACCCAGGAATTCCGCTCTTAGGAATTTACCTCATGAATGCAGGAGCCCAGTTTGAAAAAGACATATGCACCCCTATGTTTATCGCAGCACTATTTACAATAGCCAAGAAATGGAAGCAACCTAAGTGTCCATCAGTAGATGAATGAATAAAGAAGAGGTGGTACCTATACACAATGGAATATTATTCAGCCATAAGAAGACAACAAATCCTACCATTTGTTAACAACATGGATGGAGCTAGAGGGTATTATTCTCAGTGATATAAGCCAGGTGGAGAAAGACAAGTATCAAATGATTTCATTCATCTGTGGAGTAGAAGAACAAAGCAAAAACTGAAGGAACAAAACAGCAGCAAACTCACAGAACCCAAGAATGGACTACCAGTTACCAAAGGGAAAGGTACTAGGGAGGATGGGTCGAAGGGAGGGATAAGGGGGAAAAAGGGGCATTACAATTAGCACACATAATATGGGGGGGTGGCATGGGCAAAGCAGTATAACACAGAGAAGACAAGTAGTGATGCTATAGCATCTTACTATGCTGATGGACAGTGACTGTAATGAGGTATGTGGTGGGTACTTGATAACAGGGTGAGTCTAGTAACCATAATGTTTCTCTTGTAATTGTACATTAATGATACCAAAATAAAAAAATTTCAAAAAAAATCAAATTTGGTAAGTTCTGTCTTAAAAACTGTAGTGGTTTTGATTATCAGGTATCTCACGGTACAGAAGTGATTTAAATATAAGTGCTATGAGAACTGTGAACTGGCTTTGTAAACTATCCAGTCTAAACAAAATGAGGTGGCTAGTTGCAGAAGGTCAAGTGAAATCAGAAGGGAATGTGCATTGTCTTTATATCAGGAAGCCATCAGTGAGCTCTGGAAAAGCAGTCAGTGAGATGGTGAGCCTGGGACTGAAAAAGTGCAATCAGCAGACAGAGCCTACTCTTACCAGAGGCTTGGCTACAAGAGAAAGAACAAGAGGACATTGAAGGGAAGGTAGGGTTAAAATAGGGTTTTTTCAGATATGGTCATCATTAAATAAGTACTGATAGAAGGGAGCAAATGGAGAGGCACGTCAGAAATGCAGGAGGAGCAGTGCCAGATGGAGCCAGGCCTCCAGGGAGGCTGTGGTGGGATAGGAAATCCAGAGCTCAGTTTTCTTCGTTGGGAGGAGCAGGTGGAGTGGTGTACCTTACGCAGGAGGGCAGCTCTTCCTTCAAACTAAAGGAAAAGTCACATGTGGATGTGCCTAGAATAAATTGCCCTGGGGAAAGTGAAGAGTTCTTGTCTAATGACCTTGGTTGGCAGAGACAGGTAAGCAAGGGTAGACAGAGGGCTCTCAAGGTCAAGGTGTGAAAGCCTCATGGGAAGGAATGGGAGAGAAAACTACCAACAGGTGATACAAACCCGACTGAGGGTGGAGATTGTGAATTTGTCAAGGCCCTAATCCCCAGCACTGGGGTATTTTCTCGTAGTGTCCAGAACTTCTGTGATGGATTGTGGAATTGTTTGTAATTAGTTCAGCAAGAAGGTGGAAGGACAGGGAATAAGTAGCTAATATTTGTTGAATGGGTCTTATGTGCCAGGAACTATTTAAGCTCTTTATAGATATTGGCTGGTTTTTTATCACAACCAACCTTTGAAGTTATTAATGTTGTTATTCCCATTTTCAGGTGGGAATACTAAGACTTTGGGAAGTCAGGGTACTAGCCCAAAGATCCAAAACCCAGGAATTCTGCTGTCAACAGTACCATGTGCACTTGACCACTATATTGTAGTTGCCATTGCCAGGGAGAAATTGAGGGGTTAGACTAGAGCTCCCAGACTAGAGAGGAAAAGGAGTCAGTTAGGAGGAGGCTGAGACAGAAAAAAAAACTGGAGAGATCAGGAAGCTCCCCACAGGTATAAAGTACTAATTACCTTTTAATGTTAAACAGAATGTCAGGCCTCAAAATATTTTCCCCAATTTTATGTTTTTAAAAGTCAACATATTTCTAAGCTATGACTAAGCCAGAGCAGACCATTTTCTCAGAAAGCCACACAACCCACCGGAGAGAATGGTGGTAGTACATATGGTAGTCAGGAAGTCCCAAAGTGGGAGCTGAAAAACCAGAGTTACGGCACTAACTCTGGCACTGACTTTGGTGTGACCTTGGGCAGATCCCTTTCTCTTTGGAGTTACACACACACACACACAGCTGGTCTGTCTCACATGTTGGGAAGCTGGCTTCTACATTCGCCAGGTCTCCTGACTGCAACAGGGGAGCTCCTGCCGTGGAGGAGCTCAAGGACGGAGAGGACAGTGTAGGTTACTCTCAGCTCCCTGCCAGAGCCAGCCATTTGTGAGGCCCAGAGATGCCTGCAGGGTTGAAGCCTGCAAAGGAGCCAGGCTCTCAAGTTAAATTCCCCTCAGCTTCTTCAAGGAGACCAAGAAGTTCTTTCACAGAAAGCTATTTTTAGCAGCTCTGAGTACCCTAAGATGTCATCTGTCCAGGATGCAGGAAAACATTTCACTTTTTCATTGGTTCTGAAGGCCATGTGGGTACTTGGAGCTTTTTTCCAAGCTCTTAAAGACTTCAGGGATCTTATCCAAGTACTCTCTGGCCCCACAGGAGGTAGGAGCCAACAGAGACTTGTGTTCAGAATCTAGAATGCAAAGGATGTGTCATATTAATGGCAATCTGACTTGAAAATGAAGGGAAAGGACAACTTGTAAAGTACAAATATATTATCCCTATTTTGCATATGACAAACCAGGGGAAAAGAATTTGTGTTTTCTGAACACCTGCCACATTCCAGGCATTGTGCAAAAGTGTGTCACAAATGTTAATTTTTACCTTAGTCTTGCGAATTAGAGCTTTTTGCTGCCAATTTTGCTCAGAGAGGTTAAATAACCTGTCCTGGGTTGCACAGCTAAAAAGCAGTGGAACTGGGACCCAAACCCAAACTATCTGATCCCCAGAGCCCTTGCTCCTGTAGCACCATGCTCACTCAGAGGGTTTGGGGAGTGAGATGCCTCTGCGTTGCTCCTAGCCTTTGGGGCTTTACAGAGAGCTCTTGAGAGGCCAAAGATGATTATTTTTGTCTCTCATCCTTTACTTCCTCTAGCATATAAAGTCTATTCATGTATGATGTCTCTCTGTAGTACTTGGGAGAATTGAAGCAATCTTATCACAGACAAGCAAGGACAGGAGCTTGAGTCAGCTGCCTGGAAGATGCCATGGCATCCAAGGAGGTTTCCCTCCTCAATGAAAGGGCTTTCCTGGATGGCAAGTCTTTCACCCCCTCCAGGATAGAGGCACTTTTCACCCTCTGCATTCACTGTTTCTTGGGTAGCCTGGGGGAAAGAAACTGCTATCTTGAGACAAAGTCTGTTTTTGTAACTGCAATGTGTACTACTTTGCACAGATTCCTAGTGGTAATTTCAACTAACATTTCTATCCAACAGAGTTTCAGTTCCTGCATTCAGCTTATGGTAGGAGAGCTATTTTTCCTCATCTGTATTATGACCTATGAATGTGTTATCTCGTAACAACGGTAGATGCCCTCTCCTTTCCTTCCCAGATCCCATCCCCTAGGCTTGGGCTCCCCCAGGTGGCTCAGCAGCAGTTCCTAAAGCATGCAGGAACATGTCTGATGGTGCAAAATCATGGGTTGGAGACACACATGAGCCGTCCCTAGGGCAGCAGTGAAGGATCATGGCACTAAAAGGCGTCTCTTCCCTTCCTCACCTCTGGGGTCCCATCTGACCTAGGTCAGAACCTTCACCCTAACCTGGCTGCTGAATTCAAACATGTAAACAAAAATTCCTGGGCCTGTACGGCTCTTCTGTTGGCTTTGTGGCAGCCCCTGTGGAGGAGTACCTGGATTGTGCCTATAGGAACTCAAAAAACCAATCTGCCCCAGAATCAGATTTTCTACCTCCATTGGCAGTCTGACATGTTTGAAGACCTGGTTGACTTTAGATACAACCTGTTCCCTTAGCCCAGATCTTGAGCTCTGCCTCATTTTCAGGGTATTTTCCTGGATGGTGAGAGGTGAGGGCCAAGTGTACTAGTCGAGGAACCAGAACTGGGTTCTCTGGGCAGTGTGGACTCCATGCCCAAGGCACCACGGGAACTTCTGGGCACCTGTGAGGGTCCCAGCAGTGTAACTAGGTCCTTTTTGTCATAGACAGGAAGGGACCATGGGAGGAACTTGCCACTTTCACTATCCTCACCTGGGCTGCTCAGGACAAAGTTTTGTAAAATCTCTGCACACTTTCTCAACCCCTAACCTTAAATTATTTAGATATTGAGTGTTGAATTTATGTATGGCACATCTTTCAGGAGATGAGCTGTGAAAATTTTTACTTGCTACTGCTTTGGGCTGTGTGATCTTGGGCAACTTGCTAATGTCTCCAGGCCATAGATAGTGTTTTATTCCAAATGGTCTCTAAGGTCCCTTTAAATGCCAACCGCCTGTCCTCTCATAATTTTATTATTTCGATTTTGTTAGTTACAGACCTGTTTCTCTTATCATTATGGGGAGTCATTTTTTGTTTGCCTCAGGCTATATAAACTTGGACAGAAGACTCCATAAAAAGAGAAGCTGTCATGTTTCCTCACCTCTCTAGTTATAGCATCTGAAACAGAAACACTAAAAAGTATGTATGGAGCTCTTCTCTTCACAGAATGTTCTGTGCCTAGAGCTTTTGAAAATACAGAGACCAGTTAGGCAGAGACCCTGTTCTAAAGGAGCTCACAGCTTAGTGGGGTTGACAGACAAGCCAGTGAGTACAGGGACTTCCGTGATTCACAGGGACTGGGATAGTGAATCATCTGGGATGCATAAGGGGGCTGTGGTCAAGGGGTGGGGAAAAGAAAAACGTTATAGTAGAGGCAAGTTTTCAGTTCATGATTGATGAATTGACAAATGTTTACCATGTGGCGTTTGGGAAGGCAGTCCCAGGAAGAGTGAGCAGTGTGAGCAAAGATACAGAGATGTGGTGTTCTTCAGTGCACTCTTGGAATGGTAGATTTGTGTGGCTGTGGTGTAGGGTTGGAAAGTGAAAACAGTGAGAGTTTAGAGAAATCACACGATGAGATCATGAGGGGCCTCGAATGCCACACAGGGAGTTTAACCTTTAGCCTGTAGGCAGTGGAGAACCAAGGAATGTGTTTGAGAGAAAAGGGTTTGTGATTAGATTTAAGTCTTATTAGAGATTGGAGATTGGAGTTGGCAGGTTTAAAAACAGAGCACTGAGGAAGCAGTTGCAAGAGTCTTCAGGTGAGAGATAATTAGAGGGATGAATGAGATCTTCCCACAACAGTGAAGATGGAAAAGTAGATAATACCAGAATTAGAAACTGTAAGACTGGATGGCACTTTATTTTTGATCCTCATATCAATATTATGAAATGATATATTACTGCCCTTCTACGAGACAACAAAACTGAAGCTTACAAAGGTTAAGTGATTTGCCCAAGGTCCCACAGCTAGAAGTGGCACAGCCCAGGCTAGAACTCAGATTTCCTGACTTACTACATTGTTCAGGATGATGGTCCCTTGCTGCCTCTCCCCCTTGTAAGTGTGCTTAACAGATTGTTCAAGTGTCAGAGGGCATGAAGGCCCCATACCTGAGGAAGTGAACAACCCAGCACCTGGATGTGGGCAGCATGCTGTGACTGGGCTGTGGCCCTTCACTGCCAAGGGTTCTCTCCTCTTTCTTTCTCTCTCTCCTTTTAAAAATTGAGTTATAAGACATATACAGTAGCACATGCAGTACACTAGTCTCAAATGTACAGCTCAATGATATTTGACATATGTATATACTTGTTCTCTATTTTGCACTGGATGGTAGTTAATACATTTTTAGGAGTTGGTGCCTCTGATGGCACCCAAGAACAGGCATGCCTGTCCTGTTCTGTTACTGAGCCTCTGTAAGCTTCAGTGGGGTTTCCTTGATCCCACAAATGAGCTTGAATTACTACCACCAACAGAGTGGGTTACTTTAGAATTACACATGGAAGACAAAGATAATGTGGCATAACTAACAAATGAGGAAGTCATGTTGGCAGCTAATATTTGTTATTTTTTGTTTTTAGTCATCATATTTGTCCAGGTATTTAAATTAATAAGTGTTCAAATACATAAGGAAATGCAGAAAATACTAATATTTGTCTTCTTTATAATGAAAACAGAATAAAATACTTCTTCAAGTACATTTATAGTTTAGTTCACTTGATCAGTTGGGGAAGGCATAATCAAAGGCACAGTCACACTTGCTTCTTTCCTGGCTAGTCTGGAATGTTATTTTATTGTGTATAATGCTGTCTTGTTCACTCTCTGGTTGGCGTGTGGCTGTATTGCATCCCCAGCTGGACCATAAGTGCCCTGTGTGCGGTGACCATGACCCACGTGTGTTCCTGTCCACCGTGGCGCTCCCCTCAGTACTGAGTGCGGTGGAGGCCTCAGTCACTCTTTGGTTAATTTTGATTTAATTGTCACACAGTCCTTCAGACAAATGTCAGACTTTTGGCTTTTGGTGAAAATTATGGTAAAGTGTGCACCATTTGGGGAAAAAACTAGACCAGGATAGGACCTCCAAATTCTCCAAATTCTCTGCAGCCAAATTCAGGCCCTCTGCTCCCTGATGGAGTCCCCACAGGGTCTTGAGGACATGGGCTTGCCCTATCTGACTTCTCAGAGCTACATGTTTCACATTTTAGGGAGTTGTTTTGGGTGACCAGGCTTTCCAGCCATGTGAAGTGCCAGGTTCTAAATATGGAGATGCCTTGATAAGATTCTCAACACTAATTGGCTCCTTTACTAATGCCCACCACCATCATAACCCCGACCCCGGGAAAAGAAACCCAAGGTAATTATTTAAAACTGACTGCCCTCCTCCTCCATTATCTGCAGAGCCATGTGTTGATGTCCAGCAAAGGCCCTGGACTCTGCATGGAATTCTTCTGGGTCTCCATTTCTTCTGCCAGAATTCTCCTTTTAGTGTCACTTTCCTGCCCATGATTTCCTTCTCATTTCTCAGCATCCGCTGTATATATTGCGGGCCATTAATGCAAGCACAGGGTCAGCCCAGAACAGCTACATTTCTAGCGTTGGTTCAGTGAAAACAGCAAAGTCCTTGACCCCCTTCTCTGGCCCGAATATGTCCATGACTCAATGCAACCAGAGACATTTCCTGTTACCTGGATGGGCAGAGGGGGTTATGGGATCTTTGGAGGCCAGCTGTCCTTATCCTGGTGGAATTAGAATGCATAGGCATATTTTCTTCTCATACCTTAGTCCCTTGTTAAAATGTTTCAGTTTTCTGACTGTTGCCCATGCACCGCCCCCCCACCTCCTGCTAATGTAGTTTAAAACACCCAAGACTGAGTAGAAAAGATACTGTTAAAATCATTCTGTTTACTGTAAGTAGAAATTTGGCTCAAGAATGTTTTTCCTCTAGGAGAGAGTATATCAAGGGAACTCTATAAAAATTTAAGCATTTCCCCCCTTTGAAGCCCTATTCCTCTCTCCTTCCTCACAGATACCTTGAAGGTAAGTTTTTTCATCACTGCGCACTTCTAGAACATGTGAAGCATCATTCTTCAAATTTTCTCAAGCTGAGCTTTGGGTCAGCCTGGGAAATCTCTGCAGATTCCTTTCAAACTGGGCCTCATCTCTATTTCACACCCATCCCAAGTCTGGCATTTACTTTCGTAATGGCCAAAGGATTATCTCTAATTCATGAGGAGCTAACTCAGGTGGGGCACTGTAGCTGCTCAGCAGGAGATATGAAGGGTGTGCAAGAGGTCTCTCTGGCCTCAGAAGGAGCCAGCAGGGGACGCCCCAATCACATCCTGTGCCTTGCCTTCTAAGCTGCCGAAGCTCAGTCCCTCTACAGGACATGGCAGTCCAGCAAGGTTCAAGTCATGCTGTAATTATGTTTGGGTTTCACTTTGAAAGCAAGTTACTAAATACACGTCCAGATGAGATTTCAGGTGTAAAAAAAGAGTATTCAGTTGACCTGGCCCAATACACAGTTAAAGGCTCCAAGTTGCTACAACATTAATGAGAAAATGGCTAAGAATGTCCCAGAGCCTTAGTTAGGCCAGACTGTCAGGCAGTAGAAGATGGTATTCTTAGGCATCTTCATTGTTTTAGTAGTGGGTAGAAGATCCTGATTCTCTTAATATAAGCTCAGATTTCCTTGGTTTCAAATCATTTGGAAGCTCCCTTCACTCCTCCCAACCACTGTCCCATCTCAGAAAGACTGAACCATCCCTGTGTGTCTGAACAGGGCCCCTTGGGGTTTATATGTTTCTGTCCAGCACAAGACCCTTGCTTTGTGTCTGTGATTGGTGGTGCCCACTTCTTATTTCTGCCTAATGCCATTCTTGTATTTTCCCTTAAGCAACTCTACTGATGAAACAGGCCTGGCCACAGAACTCATCTTCCTGTGGCACTGAAGGCACCTTCCACCTCCCAGTGGACACCGGGACCGAGAACCGAACTTACCAAGCATCCTCTGCCGCTTTCAGTAAATACAGCCTGTCTCCTCCCTTCCTGTTCCCCTTGGTTGGGACTGATTTGTCTTTTAGGAAGAAAGGAAAGGGTACTTTTTAAACCGGCATTGTAAGACACAGTTTTAAGAGGCTCTCCTACCCATATAAAATATTGGCCCTCCTCATGAGGAAAGGTCATCTTCATTGGTCATGCACCCAGCTTTTGGGAGGTGCACAGCAGTAAGGGCAGGAGAAGGAAGTGCTAACCTGGCGGACAAAGTTGACAAGGGAAGGACTGTTGCTGCATTTCAAGGGAAAGGACATAGGGCACATTTGAAGGCCTGTGGCTCCTCCAGCTGGCACAGGGTTTCTCAGCCTCAGCACTCTGGATATCTGGACCAGATAATTCTCTGTTGTGGCGGCAGGTGGGGCTGTCCTGTGCACTGTAGGATGCTCAGCTGCATTACCCACCAGATGCTAGTAGAAAACCCTCAGTATAGAAACCAAAAATGTCTCTAAACGTTGCTCACTCTCCCAGGATAAGCTTGCCCCCTGCATGAGAAACCCTGCCCTAGTGGAAGCTACACTGTGGGAGCAAGGAACGTGCATGGTAATTTTTAACACAAAACAGCTCTACTGGTTGGAGTGAGGGCCAATGTTTAGAAATTACCGAGCGGCATTTTGGCTCTGTAGAAGAAAGAGATCTGTGCCTTGCTGAAACTGTCCAGAAGAGCAACAGCGGGCTTTGGTGTCGTGAGTGCCTTGCCCTTCAGTTGTGCCAGCAGGGGCTAGACAAGCCTTGGGAGGGAAGTTGCAGACCAAATGTGATAGTCTGTGGTTCAGTGAATGTAATCTATTAAGTAGATTAGAAGAGTACATTGTACTTTTTTTCTTTATAATACCCACTGTTTTTCCCCTTAGTTATCATTGCCCCTAGTTTTCAACAGCAACTTTTGTTTAAGCAACATAACTCTCACCATTTGGAGAATAAATTTTCATAGTCTCTTTCTCATTTAATCTACACTCCAGTCCTGTTACTTCGGATTTTTAATTCCAGTTTGAAAGCTGAGGCATAAAAAGGTAATACACCCAATTCCATCCAAACTAGTAAGCAGCACAACTAAGGGAAGATGTTGCCCAGGTCATGTTTCCATTCCTGACTTTTTTCATGAGATTTATCTTACTCTTTAAGAGAGGATGGCAACAGTGGGGAGTTTTGCCAGACACCTCAGGTAGAACTGAGTGAACATGTATGTAAACAGGTGTATACATATATATTCTCATGTCTATATATATGGATGTAGATAATAGTCACACCTACTGTGGTGTAGCAGAAAGAGGCCTGGAGTGGAAGACAAAGAGTTGGATTCTAGACTTGGTTCTGGGTAACCTTAATAATTCATGTCCGTGCTTCAGACTTTCATTTTTCAAACTGTAAAATGAAGGAACTGGACTAGGTCATCTTTAAGGTTCTCTCTGATTCTGTCACCATGGTGCTATGTACTTAGTATCCTCCACCCTGGCAGGGACCTCTTCTCTAACTGCCCTGATCAATATTTGACCAACTAGCCTTTGCTCATACATCTCCAGGTAAGGGTACTCATTCCCTCTGGAGGTAACCCTTTCCACAGTGAGAAGATCTGAATTTTAGAAGGCCTTACCTTACATTATGTTGGAATCCCCCTGAAGTCCCATCGAAACATCCAGCAGCTACATCCCACTGTCCTCTCGTAGGCTCTCATAATCCCTGGAAAGGAACAAAATGAACCCCCTCTCTCTTAAGCAAGTAATGTGTGAACCTGTACAATTTTTAAATAGAGGTGGGATGGACTGAACCTCCCACACCACCAGGATCCTCCCAGCACCCAGATTTTGTTGCTTCTAATACCACAGAAAATTCAAGGCACTTCAACAAATTCAGTTTAATTTCACCAGCAATTGCTAAGTCTGTTAGTAATTAGGTCTCCCTTCTGCTTATTCAGTGCTCTTATTTGGCTGCCAACAAGGAGACTTGGGGGTCAAGGCAAGATTCAGACAGCTTTGTCCATACACATAAATCTGATGGTCAATAAACCTATTAGTCTAAAAGGCATCCTTGATGTGAGGATCAATGCGTTTGAAGGTGCTAGGGGCTCTACAACTGACAAAAGATTTATGATGGCACAGAAGGATTGAAGAGAGGGCTGAAGAGGTTTTATCTTGCTAATGTACACTGTATCTTTATTATCCTGTTTGATGGAGGCTAAAATTATGGTTAGGAACCTAAGAGAAAGAACAGGGCATCGTAAACAAAGCTTCTTTCATAAAGTAGGGCTGCGATCTCTGGTGATTGAATCGTTTTTTTCTCACGATATTGCCTTTAGTGAAATGGGTACACAAAGGCCAGTATACTAGATGCCCAAGTTTGGACTGCAGAGGCCAATAGATAACTCAGACAGGGGCTGTACCTAGGGCTTCATAAGCCCTGGCCTCAGCCCAGCTCTGCATTATCTGAAGCATAGAGGATTGAGTGCAGGTCTGTGATGTCCTTAGGGCATATAATGCCAAAGTCCTAATGCTGTGACCTTCAGACTTAACATAGAACACCTTTAGGAGAGCCAGTCCTCCAGTAAGTTGAGTCTGTAAATTCATTTGAGCAAAACCAATTAATTGTTGTTTTGTATCAAGCTCCACAGCTTCTTTTACCTAGATGCACAAAGTAATAAACCCTGAATTTTTTGATACCCACATTAGCCCAGGCTGCAGCCCCAGGAGAATTTCCAGTGGTCCTCAGAGGTACGGATAGGACCAGCCATCAGTTGTGGGTAGCCCTCTGCAGTGATTTTCTCCTAAATGAGTCTCACTGAAAGATTCAGAGACTTAGAATGTCAGCACTAGAAAAGCCCTCTGATATTATCTAGTCCAAATGAGGGTATTTGTTGAGAAAGAACTTACCTGACACACTGGCAGAGCCCAGGAAGGGGGCCCAGGGCAGTTTCTGCAGCCTCCTGAAGCAAATGGTAGCCTTGAGAACCAGCATACGGAGAGGAAGGAGCGCTGAGTCCTGAGTCCTTGCAAGCAGTTACACACACTCTCGCTTGCTCTTCTCTCTTTCTCTCTCTCAGCATCTGTTCATTCTCTCATGTGTGAAGTTTACATCAGTCTTAGTGATCTCTAGGATCTCTCCTAGCTCTGTAGTCCTGGTTTCCCTTCCCCACAGTCTGGACAAACGAGCAAGGCCTTCTGCAGCAGCATCTCCTTGGCTGCCAAGGTGTTTGGGCTGCTGATTAGGGTTCTGAGTATGTGTATCTCATTTCATAACATGAAGAAAGGGAAACGTTCCCAGACAAGGTTATTCTTAGATGTGGAAACCAAATTCTACTGCAGCCTTTTGGAGCCTTTTGATTTTCCTCAGGGATGCTCTTGGTAATGATGGTAATGCTTAGTAAGTTGGTTGTCCTTGTGGCACAGAAGGGGTAGTACAGGCTTCCTCAGGGATAAAAGTTCTAAAGCACATTCTCAGGGGAGCACAAAGGAAAGTTGCCAGCATCGTTGGCTTGTTACCTTTAAAGAGTCATAAAATCATGCCATTTTAAACCATAAAATTTTAGAATCTTAGAATCCTGGAGTCTGTGTTTCAAGTTGGGTCACACCAAGGAGGGCATAGTTTAACCTTTGTACTGTCGTCTTTCAGACCAGTCTCTGCTAGCACACCCCCAGGATAGGAAGGCAGCTTACTGCTTCTCTCTTTAGTGCAAGGGAGAAAGGAGTGACAGCTAACCCATATGAAGTGCTTTTAATGTGTCAGGTACCATTCTAAGGTTTGCAATTGTAGTTACTTATGTTACTTATCACAGTCACTCTATGATGTAGGTACCATTTTTGTCCTCATTTTGCAGATGAGGAGACTGATGTATTCTATAACTATTAAGTAGCAGACCTGGGGGTTGAACCTAAGTAGTCAGTCTCGCTCCAGACTTCTCGTAACCACTACTTTGCGCTGTATAGCTTTCAGAGACAGGCATCGTAGGATTCAGGAGTGTCCTGCTCCCCATAATTTGTTTTATTCCTTTAAATCAGGAGTTAGAAAGCTATAGAAGGCCAGATAATAAATATTTTAGGCCATATGGTCTCTGTTGTAGCACCACTGCAGGAGGAAAACAGCCATGTCAAAATGTAGGAATGGGCATGGCTGTGTTATAGTACTACTTCACCAAAACAAACTACACTTACAGGAAGCTGCAGTTTGCCTACTTAAAATGTTAATAGTATGAATAAAAGATTCTGTAGTAAAATAAATTTGAAAATAGTCTCTTGCATATCCCGATGTTGGAAATTTATAGTTTGTCTTACCATTTTAAAACTTCTTAGAGTCCTAGAATAAAAAGCATACAACCCTGTTTATCCCTATTGTACATTGCTGCTGCCGCCTCCTGTTCTTTTTTTGCCAAACAGTGATTACGGTCCCCTGAACTCATAGTCCATTATGCACTCTTGGGACATGCCCCTCGGATGGCTCCTCCTAGACACCTGCAAACCTGGACTCCCTGTTCCCCCCACCCCCACCTGCAAGTATCTGCTTCTCTGCCTATGACCACAGCTCATAATTAACTCCCCAACTTGGAGGAATCTGCTCTAGACTTCTTCTTCAGCTGAATCGCACCTCTACTTTCAGTTAGCTTCTAGGTCTTGTCAGTACTACCTTCTCATTAATGTGTTATTTCCATTCCATCCTTAACGCTGCTTCTTTTGCAAGCATATTTGACCACAAAACCAGCATTTCATGTAACAAACTATAGATCTACAGGTGGGAAGATAAGTGTCATGATTCCAGGGGAGAGGACAGGACAAGTTTTGGTGGTGCCTTTTGTGGTGACTAAATAGCTCCTGTATCCTCGGGGAATTCATGATGGGGTAGGAGGGTGCCAAGCTACAGCTGTGATGTATGTGGACTGGGTGAGATTTGTGACTATATGGCAGTTTGCTTTTACTTAGGGTTAGGGTAGAAGAGACCCAGGATCTTTAACAGAATAGCATTTTAGTTCAGGAAGAGATCTTCATTCTTAGTCTTCTGAATTTACACAATAAGAAACAAAGGCCCAGATATGTGGCAGTAGTCACAGCAAACTGGAAGAAAGCCTGGACAGAAGCCTAGAGCTCTTCTCTTGCAGTAAAACACCCTCTGACCCCCCCAGTCCCTCCTTGTAAAAACAACACCATGTTGCTGCAAGGGTCCTTGATGAGCATCTTGTAGGTGAACGACCTGAGCCGAGAACTCCAGCAAGACCCCGCCAGGATGGGGACCATGGGGTACGCACCAGCAGCGCTCCATTGGAGATGCAAAGCCAAGACTTCATGGCACTGTCCCTCCAACTCAGAAAAGAACTTCCTGAAAAGACCTGCCTTTTCTGAGCCCTGGGGTCCCCGTGTATAAAGTAAGAGAGTTGTGGTCACATGATGATCACTTGGGTTCCATAGAATCATTCCATTCTGTGACTCTGTAAGGACACAGATTTGTTCCTGAGTCATGTTTCAAGTTTTTACTGTGAACACAGGATCTGGCTTGCTTTTCTAGAAGATTCAAAGGCAGCACAATTTGTTTGGCTGATTGTGAGCTTCCTGGGGCCTGGGTTCTAAGTTGATGTGAACCTTTATGATCCCTGACTTTAGGCCCTGAGGCAGAGGTGGTCCTCCCCAAGGCCAAGGGGGCTTGGAGAGGCCAGTTGTGTAGAGCAAAGTTTTTCAGCATCCTAGAAGATGAGGATCTTTGAGTGGGGTTTTATATGAGGTTTTCACCTTAAAACATGGCAGGGAAGCAGGGGAACATGGTATAGGGAAGTCCAAAAAGGAAGAGAGAGACAAAGCAAAAAAGAAGTAGAGCAAGGGGGAAAGTAAAACAAAGAGCAGCAGAAGATATGCTGGAGCGCTGAGTGAGAAGATGGTAAGAGAAAGAAGAGTGCAGTAAGGAGCAGGCGGGCTGAGTCTCCCACCTGTGTGCACACCTGCCCATCTCCTGGCACATGGCTCAGGGGGCCGAGCTGCAGGGGTCCCTCAAGAGATCATCTGGTTCTAGCCTCTCATTTTATGGAGCCCTGAGACAGAAATAAAGGATGCTAGAGTCACCCACGCAGCCCTGTGCACCAGGACTGAGGGAGCCACCTCTGGGGCCAGGGCTTTCTGGGTAGAGCCCTGTTCTTTGTTCTCATCTGTGTTTCCAGCCTGAATTCAGTCCATGCTTGTCTGGGGAGTCGTGATTAGGACCTGATGCCTTCCAGTGATGCTGTTCTGCCAACTAATTGGAAGTCTTTCTTATTGCCTTGGTACAGGATATACTGCGGGGACACCATACAAGGTCCCTCCGACCCAGAGTAATACTGCTCCGCCCCCCTACTCCCCATCACCCAACCCCTATCAGACGGCCATGTATCCAATCAGAAGTGCCTACCCCCAGCAGAATCTGTATGCCCAGGTAGGTGCATGTGGAAGCCTGGGCCCACCTCTTCTGCAGGTAAAGGAGCCCCCAACCAGTGTGGGGTAGGGGTGGGTGAGGAAGAGAGGGAAGGAGAGTTCATGGCTCTGGTCAGCTGTCACTCTTGTGTCATTAAAACAATATCCCTATAGCTTGTACACTCCCTTGGTCCACCTCAACCCCTGGAGCAGTGACATATGAAGTCATTTAGATTAACAGAGCCCAGAATATCAGAGGAACAAAGGCCCTTCATCAAGCTCAACTCCTTTTTATACAAGTGGGGAAGCCAAGACCCAGAGAGGGGAGTGACTTGTCCAGAGTCACACAGGGAACTAGTGGGTTGAGTGAGGATGAGGCCTCACTATGTCTTGGGCTTCTCTCTCTACCCACTCCACATCTACCTTTCCTTTACAGTCTTTGAGCTAAGTGGGAGGACATAAGTGACCAGCCTTTGCCACCAGTTCCCTGTGTGACCTCGAGCAGGTTACTCTATGTGCCTTTGTGTCCCCACCTGGGCTGCTTCAGCTAGAAAATGTGCGCACCCTGGTGGGGTGACTGAGATGGGGACCATAAGCAGTTGCAGCATACACATAACACACTGTTCCGGGGTGACCATGCTACTTGAGGTTTAAGGAGTGAGGAGAACACTTTTTAAATTTAAAAAACAGCTATACTGTAAAGTAGAATCCAAAACTTTAAAGAGGCAATAGACTTGAGATAAATTTTTCTGGTTTATGTTTGGCTTTGCACTATGCTGTCAGACCTCTGGGGTTACAAACCCACATTCTGAGGCTCTTGGCATTAGTAGAAACGCTTGAGAAGCTTTGGATTAAGATGATCCAGGAGCCTGTCTACTCGCCACAAAGGTCAGCAGGAAGTAGCCATGTGATCCAAGCAGTAGGAAGTCATCTCAGACCACTGTCTCCATCCTCATCTTTTGGCCTAAAGGGAAATTGATCGTAAGAGACATCTTGGGGAATGCTGTGCATTTGTGACATTTTTCTAATATGTAAAATGGCAGCATTTGTACAGTGTGATAACTCCCACCAATAATCCTTCTTCATTCACTGTGGTCCCTGCCTTCACATTTTAGGCAGCCTATGGGAGTGTATTTTTAAATGCTGAAGTCAGAGTAAGGGGATCAGAGCTATTGCCCCCATTAGCCCATCATAGCCATTCCAGGAGCAAGGCAGGATAGGGTGGGAGCCTTATTTTTTAGCCAAAAGCTGAACCTAGCGCTGAAGTGTCCACAGTCAGGTGGTGAGACAGAAGCAGGGCCCCAGCTGGGCCCAAACCTCATATCCCTGGGCCAGTGCTTCTCTGACCCTGTTCCTTAGGGTCTGGGATGAGCAGGCTGTTCTCCCCTCCCCTCTCCACATCCTGCCACACCTCTCCAAAAGCTTGTGGGACCTCAGCCTCTTCTCCCCTAGGGAGCCTACTACACACAGCCGGTGTATGCAGCCCAGCCCCACGTCATCCACCACACCACGGTTGTCCAGCCCAACAGCATTCCCTCTGCCATCTACCCGGCGCCTGTTGCTGCCCCCAGGACCAACGGTGTGGCCATGGGCATGGTGGCTGGCACCACCATGGCAATGTCAGCAGGTGAGGGTAGCATCTGTGTCAGTGTCCTTCACAGGAACTCAAGGCAGAGTGGAGAACATGGTCATGCAGTTGATCATAGCACAGCATGGGGGTTCTGGAAACACTCTAATCTGTCCAGAGGGTTGAGGAAGATTTCACCAAGAAGGGCATATTGAGCAAGACCTTAAAGGGTGGCAAACAGAGGCTCACCAGAGAGATGAAAGAGAGAAGGGTAGTCCAGGGGAAAGGACGTGAGTATGGCATGTTCACAGAATGGAAATGGTCCAAGGCACTTAAGAAATAGGGGCACAGAGGTAGAAAGGTGGCTGGAGCAATTGGCAAAGATAAAATGGTAAAGAGTCTAGATATACCTTTAGGTAACAGTTTGCTAGCAAAGAGGTTTAAGCAGAGGAGAGATGGGGTTTCGTTTCACTATTCTCTCAGGCTGCACAGTCGAAGCATAATTAGACAGGGAAAGGTTGGAAGCAGGTAGGTCAGTGGAGAGCTGCAGTTTAGAGGAGAGATGATGACAGCTGGTAGCAGCAGGGTTCCAGAAAGGTGGGCACAGGGCAATCTTATTTAGCAGGCAGGAGCTAAAGGACTTGTCCAATAAATTGTAAAACATGGGAGAAGCAAGAGTCCAAGCAGACCCCTTTGCCATTTCTGTCTTACTCCAGAAATCAGCGCAGAGTCTTACCCTTCAGGAACCTTGAGGATGGGGTTGGAGAGAGACACTAGAGGAGGAAAAGGTTTAGGGAAGTCAGGGATGGGTTGACGTTCAGAAGAAGACCATGAGATGACAAGAGGGCTGTGGGTAACCTTTAGAGACCCAACTTGCAAAGGATCGGCCGGGTCCCCTAAAGGAAGAGAGGACAAGGGGTTGAGTGGGCAGGAGCGGGGAGTTGGGATTTTATTCTGCCCCTGATGGAAGGGGTTGTTGAGGCCTCACATTCCCCAGGTCAGGTCAACAAGCTGTTGGATACCTTCTCGGTGCCAGCCACATTGTTTTGGTCTAGGGGACATTTACTAACAGGCTAGTGGGAAACGCAACCAATTACTACTCAGTACAGTGTCTGTGCAGTGAATGGAACATACAGAGAAGAGTAAAAGGAGGCCACTGAGGAAGAATGATGAACTCCGTCCTGGAGCATCAGTGCTTTCTCTAAGGAAGTGAAGCCTGGAAAGGTGGGGAGGGTGGGCAGCAGTTCATGAGCAGGCAGGGAGGTGGGGTGCCCAGGAAGGGAGCAGCTGAGTGAAGGACCATGGCTTCATCCAGAGCCCTGGAATGGCCTCATCAGATTTACTCTTCTCTCTCTGGATGCTCAGGTACCCTGCTGACTGCACCCCAGCATACCGCGATTGGGGCACACCCTGTCTCCATGCCAACATACAGGGCCCAGGGGACCCCTGCGTACAGCTATGTGCCCCCGCACTGGTAAAGCCTGCAGCCCACCCAAGTGAGTGGGGCCCCGGGGCGGGGGGGGAGAATAAGAGGGTGACTAAATATGGGCACTGCTGCAAAGCCACTCGCTTGGCCTGAATTCTGTGTGTCAGCCAGGGGCAGGCACCAGTTAGCAGCTGCTTTTCTGTTCCTGAGTTCAGTGCTATCACTCTTAATAGGCCTGTCACTTTGTGTATATTCTAGACACTTACATATGTTATCTCATAATCCTTAAGGTAGCTCCATGAAATGAGGATCACTAGCTCTATCTTACAGATAAATACAGAATTCAGCATCACTTAACCAATAAAAATTAAACTGGGACTTGAACTCCAGTCCTCCAGTCCAGTTTCATGCTTCTTACCATAGTCTTCAGACTTCTTTTAACTTTGGGCTTCATTCTTCAAATGCAATCTTACCTCAGTCAGACCTTGGCTCTGACTAGGGCCAGGTGGAGACCTTGGGCCAGCCCCCACCTCAGGCTTCCTTACTGCCTCTGGCAATTCCTGAGGCAGTGCCAGGGAACCATGGGGCTCCCTTTGAAATCCCCTGCCCTGCCTCAGCTGGCTGCCCCCAAACCCCCCACCTCCTCCAGGAGCTCTTGGCACTGGCCAGGAAGCAGGCAGCTCCAGTGGGAAGGCACAGAGGACTCCACTTAGGGCTCCCAAGGTGTAAGGAGAGGGGGCCCAGAGGCTTCCAGGCGTGGAGTGGCACTCAGGCGCATTGCTGTCAGTAACAACTTTTTGTTCCTCCCCCAGATCTGGAGTCACACATTGTATGCAACTACTCAAGTCTTACCCAGGTGCTGGAGCCTTCCCTAGCAGCACCACCTCTATTTGCAAGAAGAGACAACAGAAGTGCAAGGGTCACTTTATGCATCTTTAATGGTTTTGGTTTTTAATTTTGGTTTTTGTAAAAGCTGCTTTTTCTAATCTCCTGCCTCTCCTCACTGTCCCCCTCTTAGCTGCTGCCCTTCCAACTCTATCCCCTCATCGTACCTGACCAGGCACATCCTCTCTGTTCTTTCCTTCGCCAGAGACCCCAGTCTAGTGGCAGGCAGAGAGAGGGGTTTATTGCAATGGTTCAGCTTCTTTTGAAGAGCATAAAAGATGTGGCCCTCGGGTGCAGGGTAGGACCTCAGAGCTGTGTTGAGCAGACCATGTCTTGAGGGGATTGTTTCTTTTTGACTTTTTTTCTTAAGCAAGATTAGGACATTACCGTATCCTGACACAACTGAACAGTCTTCTGAGAACCATTGCAATAGACCACGAACAAAACCACCTGATTAGGTAGAAGCACTCATAGCGTAACACCCAGGTGAGAACCTGGGAAAACAGATTCTTTCTTTGGGAGAGCTTGGCTGGGGGACAGGGCAGGGGGAGGCACTGTGGGAAAGAAGAGGGGAGAGAGGTTTTTGCCTGCTGGTTTTGGTTTGTAGGGTCTCTGGCCAAATTGTCTGGCCCTTGACCCTCTGATTTGCACAGTGATGCTAACTGGCCTGGCACTTCTTTAGAAGGTAATTTTTGATCTCGGACCTGCCAAGCAGCTGCAGGGTAGTGGGATCCCAGCCTCCCAAAGTCTTGGAAGGCCAATGTAATCCAGACATTGGCCTCAGCCCTCATGGACCCACTCTGATGAGGAGCTTACTCCTGATTGGAGTGGAGCCCTAGGGCATTTCCCTCCCCTCTGCCTTTCCCAGGGCCGGGGCCCACCCATCTGTCCACAGGGCTGGCAGGCTGGCCAAGCTCATGGTTACCTTGTGCCATTCATGGCCAAACTGAAGGAACCACATTCCAGGTGGGTGCTGGCAGCTCTGAAAGTCAGGATAGTGAAGGAAAAATAATAGCAATAAACATTTCATAGACTCATGGAACTGAAGGGACCTTAGCAATCATCTCATCCATTCCCCCATCTGACAGATAAGGAAGCTGAGGCCCAGAGAAGAAAGGACCTCCCTAGAACTCACAGTAAATTAGCATTCGATGTGGCCTTCCTACCTAAGGTTATGTTGTCCACAAAAATTTACCTAGGGCTGGATTGGCTTGGTTTTGCAAAAATAAAGTCAGCCGCACCGACACCTGGTGAGCTCTGGAACAGCCTCCGGGTTTTTGTTTCTGCTCTTTCCCCACGCGAACTCCAGAGGGGTGTGTTGAATACTGGGCAGAGGTCACATGAGGACAGACGGCAGGAACAATAATTGCAAATGAATAGCATTTGGAAATTCTGTGAGGACATCTGGAGGTTTTGTCCTACACCTGACTCCAGCTTTAGGAGGAGCACATAGGCTGCCTGCAAAGGAAACTCAAGTAAAGGACAGCAGCCCCTCATCCTGAGAGGAGAGTAGGATGAGGCCCAGGAGACACAGGCTGTCCTGGGAGAAGAGGGACCCCTGAGCGAGGAGGCCCCACTAGTCCCAGCCAGGTGGCCAGGTTGCCCAGCATTGTCCCCTGTATCCAGCACTTGGCTGGGCCAGCAGCCCCTGGTGTGTGTGGGGGAAGCAGGAACATTTTACTTTACAAAATAGGATCATTAATAATATTTGGGACTTTTAAATAATTCTTCATTTTAAAGTCTTACAAACTTAGACATACCACTACCCCTACCACCCATGTCTCCCTAAAGGAGGGAAAAATCAGGAACCCTTGGGGCCAGAAGGGCCTCAGAGGCCACCATTCCCAGAAGGGCAAAGCCCATCAGCATGCTCGGCCCAGAGCCAGGAGTTAGGGGCCTACCTTTTTGGCCTTCCAGGGAACTGCAGGACCAGCAAAGAGAACCCCAGCTCTTCTAAATGGTCTGTTCTAGGGTACTGATGAGGTTTCATTTTAAAGCAACAGAAAACTTCCAGTGTTAATCCATTTTTTGCAAATACATCCTCCTACTCTCTGCTTTTGTAAGGGTGGGTGAAGTTGTTTTAGATTACGTTGTGTGTGTTTGGAAAATGCCAAAATAATAACAATGATAACAATAATAGGAAACCTTTGCATTTGTCAGGTGCTTCATAGATTTCAGTGCACTTCACCGCCTTTAATTTACTAGCCCTGAGAAAGAGACAGGGTCAGAATTGTTACACCCGTTTGACAACTTAGGAAACTGGTTTTAGAAGGAAAGGAGCTTGCCTGATAGCAGAATGCTGATATCCTGACAGGCTTCCTCCAACCTCCTGGTGGGCTGGGGTGGAACCACAGAGAAGGGGGAAATGAGGAAACCTAGGAAGGGCCCTGTTGTTTTTTATCTCTCTTCATCAGTAAGTAAAACCTCTGATACCTCGTAGTTTGCAAAGCAGTTTCACATAAATCATCTGGTTTAACCCTGTGAAACAGATTATTCCTCCCATTTGATCCATAAGGAAAGTGAGATTCAGAAAAGCAAAGTACTTGCTCGTAAATGGCAGAGCCACTTGAATCCCAGTCTGTCTGTCTCTTCCCCTCCAGTCTGACTCTACACACAGACTTGCAGACTGAAGCATCTATGCTCTCTCTGCACCCTCTTAGTCCTCTAATGTAATTCAAGATCAAAGTCAGGCCCCAAGGCTAAAACAAGGCTCAGAAAGGCTGTGGTCTAGAAGAGCCCAGGCCCAGCACCCCTTTCTCAGTAGAGTGCCGGAGCCCCAGTTCAGCTGGCCTCACCCTCTAGCTCTGACGGAGATCCACAAGCCTGGCCAAGCTTGGGGAGTCACTGCCAAGGGTCTGAGCCAGGAGAGCGGGGGCACCTTTGGAAGGACGAGCACACCTGGTAGGATGACAGTCATCTATCAGGAGGAACCACGAGTCGGCCAAAGATTCCGTGTGGCCCAGTGGTCAGCTGGACAGAAGGGAGAGCTGGAAGGGCCCTGTCATGATAGGAAGGCCAGCAGGCCCGCTGGGATGGGGTGGGGGCACCCACATGACAGCTGCAGCACTGGCACCAGCATGCAACCCTCTCTCCGCTCTGCTGCCTCTCCCTAGTGCCACCAGCTCAGGGCCAGGCTCAGGCATACTGGTGGTTCCAGTCACCAGCTAACCTTCTTGGCTTCCCCCACTTCACCTGACTCCCTGTCGTCAGCCTGGGGCCTAGGAAGCTGGAGTCTGGAAGCTGGAGCTCCCACCAGTGGTGAGAGCCTGAAACATAGTCTTTATACCACTTCTTGAAAAAATTTAATTACTTCCCCATGAGACAGGACAGTTGCTGATCCTCTCTCTCTCCTGGCAGTGACCCTACAGTGCATATCCCCTCCCCTAAATATTCAATAGGGACACACACCCCTATCCAGAGGCGTTTTTCATGTACAAAGTACTTTAATATTGATTGCCAAAATCCCGCATTTTATAGATGGAAAAAACTGAGTCTCAGAAGGCTTAAGAGACTTGCCAAAGGTCACACAGCTCATAAAGAGAGCTAAGATTTCAACTCTTCAAATCCTCTGCTCTTTCTGGTGGCACCTGATGGGTCTGGGTGGCAGGCATAAAAAAGGGATAGGCTACTTGTCCACCACAAACAGAGGAACAGTACTCAGACATCCTGGGAAGCTCAGTCCTCTTGGCTGAGCAGATTTTCAGGAGGGGCCCTGCGGACCCAGACGACTATCCAGCTGGTAGCATGGGTACGGTAAGAATTTGCAACAGAAGGTCTAACTTGAACAGAACACTTCAGGGTCATGATGCCCAGGTCTAAAGACACATTCAAGGGCAGCCCCAGTCATCTGTCCATTGACAGACCTGTGTTCCTGGGAGCCTTCTCACCCTTGCTTTCTGACCCTGGAGAGCCTGTCCACTGAACAGACCCAGTGTTGGCCCTCCCAGGAGACCTCATATAGTTCTAAATGGCCAAAAGCACATCTGACTTGTCCCCGGGCTTGCTTTTCCCATGGGTGAGAGACTGTGCAGACCTTACTCCTGATCTCAGCTCCTACCCCTGGCTCTCCCAGCTGTCCCAGGTTGGAGGTATCCACTCAGATATCTGGGGAGTGCTCTTTGGAGGGACTTGCTTTGTTCTGAATGGCTTTCATAAGTGAATCATATGGAGCAGAAAAGCAGGGCAGGCTCCTTGGTCACCAGAGTCTGGTGTCCTTGTTATGCAGACAGGACTCGGCCAGAGTCCCAGCAAGGCACTGGCTGAGCCAGACCTGGAGCCCTGCAGGTCCCAGTTCCTCAGCTCTGTGCCATGGCTAGAGAGGAAAGGCTTGAGAGGCCATGGGTCTTGGTCTTGGTGTGGCCTTGGTCACAGCACTCTGGCTGGATCAGTCATGCAGGTGTCACATGGCATTCCTCGTCAGCTGCAGACGGTCTGCCTCCATCCTCTGTCCCACCACATCATTGCAGGGTACGCAGTCCCCAGCTGCTGGCCAAGCTCAGGAATTCAGAGGGGGGCAGGTCAGGCAGTGAGTCTGCAGGTGGAAGGCAGGTTCCATGCCAGTGTGCAGCCCAAGGGGTATCCAGGCCAACCACCTGCAAAAGCAGGATCTCAGAGGAGGAAATCCAGCCAGGCCAACCTCAGATTCCACACCTTTGCCTCAGAGCTCTGGCTCCTGTGGGCGTGCCAGGTTGGCTGCAAGGTTTGTCCTTTACCTATCCATGTTCCCTTCTTCTAGGAAACTTGTTTCTGAAATTAGTATTACATGTTTCCAGGGCCTGGCCTGCTAAATTCCTGGCAGGCCAGCTTCAACATTCCATAGCCAGCCTTTGCTGAGCCAGATTTCGGTCCCACTCCCTTTCTCCAGAGGGTATTTTCTATCTTGCATGCTTTTGAGTCCAGGTGGCCAAGTGAGGAACATGGGAGTTGGGAGTGGCCACCACAAAGGGAAACTAGAGCTCTTGCTTCCTTGTGGCTTCATTCAGTCCCTGGGCATCCTTGAAGCAGTGAGGCCCTGTACCTTTTTCAGCTCCTAGTACAGCGGTATTTTCCTTCCTGAAGAGAAGATATAACAACTTTGCAAACAACTACCAGCCCATAGGAGTCCAGTGGGGCCCAACCCCAGCAAGACCAGCATCTCCAGGCTCCAGCCTTCCTCCTCATGCCTAAGAATCAGGGAAAGGGTGCAACTGCCCAGAGACCACCTTCTTAAGGGTCAGCCAGCTTATCTGGGTCTGGGATGGGATTCATGCTCCTCCTTACACAAGGGAGCATAAGCCAGAACCCCAGCAACTTGGAGTTGTCTGGAATGACCTTTAAAGACCCAGGAGCCTGTCCCCATCTGACTGAAAGGCATCTGCATCCCCCCTTCATATCACATGACAGAGAAACCTGTTCTCATGGTGTGTAACATCCCTGTGAGAGAGCACTGTATATGATTTTGTATTTTTTAATTCATTTTAATCTACAGGTTGAAATCTAATTTTTAAATGTTATTGGAACTCACATTTTAAAAAGAAAAACGTTTAAAATAATAATAAATCTTTGGTGTCTTCCAAGTAGTTTGATCAAAGAACTTATAGGTGTTTTGAAAACACAGCCTGGAGTGTAAAGATTGGGAAGCCCCATGGCCTCGCTTGTGTGTATGAACTGTAAATCTGGTTTCGTTTTGTTGTTTTGGCTTCTTTTGGGTTTTTGTTTTGTTTTGTTTTGAAGATCAGATAGTGATCACTCTGAAAGATTGAAGCCAAGAATTTGTAACTATGATATTTACTGTAAGCTGTAGAACATTCAATAACTATTAAAAAAAAGTTTCCAAAAAAAGTCTGGGGTGACCAGACTGGTGGTTCTTGGGACATGGGACACAGACTACCTGCTGAGCCAGTGAGGCCCCTGGGCTTCTCTCCAAGTTGATTCTAACCTTTCTCTTACCTTCCAGCAAGCAGAAAATTGGAAAGGGGAGCAGGGTTTATTGCCTCAGGGCCCAGCATCAAGACGGGGGGTGTCTCTTACCTGGCCAGCCCAGACCCAGCCTCAGTCTCCACCCTGGCTGGTACCTGTACATGCCTCACCCCAGGTAAGAGGGCATCTGGAGACTACAGTCCAGCCTTTGCCTGGGAAAGCAGGCCAGAGTGGGAGGGGCTCAGCATCCCCCCGGCCAACCCCCAGGCACTGCTCATGCCGTCTCATCCTCATCCTGGTGTTTCATTCAAGTCCAGGGTGACATGGGGTGATTGGCTGAGGGGACAGTCAAGTATGAAAAGCCAAACATTGAGACACAGCTGAACCGCTGGCAAACAGGGACACCAAGTGCATTCTGGTGGTCCCCCAGGGAACACTTTGGGTGCACTGACAATGCCCACTAGTCCCCTACAACAGACTAGAAGCCCCAGAAAGAGAAGCTAGTGCCCTAGAGAGGCAAGAGGAAGGGAGAGGTCAGATCTAAGGCATGTCTGCCCAGCCTCCCTTAGGATGGGAGTTTTCTCTGCTGCTGCCAGGCCAGGCCAACACCCATGGCCTCTGCCCTCTGAGCTTGGGCCTCCCACAGGCCATCCCTTTCCACACCTCCCCAGGCTCCATCAGGGATCACTTTCTGGTTCTTGAGCCTCTCCTTGGGCCTCATCCACTTAAATATAAACACATCCCCTTCCATCCTTAAAAAAAATGAAGAACCCAGAATTAACTGAAAGCCCTCTCCCTGGAGCCTGAGCTCTGCCAGCTATCGCATGGCACAGTCAAGCTTCTTCAGGGAGTTGAATCCACTCTGACCTGGCCCTGCTGTCCTTGAGATGATCCTCACCACATCCCTGTGTCCACTAACCAGGGGATGCTGCAGTGCTGGCCTTGTGACCCACCCTGCTCCCCATACTGCTGTCCTTCCCTGGCTTCCTCCCCACTTCCTTGGCCATGGCCCTGGAACAGCCCAGGGTCCACCTGAGCTCTCTACTTGGACAGTGTTCCCTTCCTGCCCAGTCCTAATGCAAATACCTGAGTGCTTCTAGATATTCTCAGCCCAGGTCTATCTCTGGAGCGCTCCAGGCCTTCATATCCAGATGCCTCAGGCCATGCCATGGGACTATACCACAGGAGCCCCCAGGACCGTTGCTCCTGTTCACCCACCCAGCCAGCCCAGATGCCCCA